GTGGCTGGAGGGCCTGCCGGTGGTGGGGCTGTATTCCGTGAAGGCATCGTGACCCGTGCAGGAAGGAGCATTCAGTTATCACAGAAAGCAAAGGATGCTATGGGACTGGTGTGAGGAGATAGCACTAGGGTTCAGAGCTAGTCTTGAGTTGCATTGGCTCAATCCTTGAACACAACATCTGATCGACGTTGCGTTGTACGCTGCAGTTTGTACTCAAAATTGCGTTCTTTTTAAAAAAGGGGGGTAATGTAGTGGTGTCAGTTTACAGAGTGTAATGTATTGCCTTCAAGTACTAATGCTCTGGTGTTGCATTGCGTTACCTTAGTTATACATTGGCACCACACGTTATCATATACCACTCATATCATGTCACACCTATATCATGTCACACCTATACGATTGGTATAATAGACTAGCAGAGCTACAGGGAGATCTCTCTCTCAGCCTGCACACCTAACTGTTGGTCACCACAGAGAGTGAACGAATATCTTCAGGAAGTTTATTCCAAGCAACACTCAAAGAAAAAAGGGTTGATTTACGAAAGTAGGTGCCAGCTTTAGGAAGGATGAGGGGTGACGACTGCTTTGGGAAGTAGTAGTAGTAGTAGTAGTAGTAGTAGTAGTAGTAGTAGTAGTAGTAGTAGTATTCGCAGAGAGAAAGCTGCCCAAGCCACGGGTCTCGTTAGCGAATTGCGCCCGGATTTGACAGCGACACAGGCGCTGTTGGTGGAGAATGCCGCGGAAAAGGGCGTATCATCTTGGGTAACGGCGGAACCATCGTCCCAAATGCAGATGGTGCTGAACAAATCGGATTTCCGAGATGCGTTCTGCATCCGCTACGGCCTGCAGCCTGACGGACTCCCCCTGACTTGTGTATGTGGTGCTGCAAACACAATAGACCATGCGATGATGTGTCCGGCAGGGGGCTACCCCATGGCACGACATAACGAGATCCGGGACTTGTTGGCTGACGTGATGCGTGAGGCGGTCCGGGATGTGGAGGTAGAACCGCCTCTACTACCGTATGATGGTGAGCGGCTCCAAGGGAGGACAGCCAACCGCTCGGCAGGTGCCCGCCTGGACATCCGGGCTTGTGGCTTCTGGACGAGACAGCAAGATGCCTTTTTCGACATCCGGGTTACACACCCAAAGGCAAGCTTGCTGTCGCGTCAGGAAGTCATCAGCCAGCTCCGAACGCATGAACGGATGAAGAAGCGCCAGTACGGAGAGCGGGTGACAGCAGTGGACAGGGGTACGTTTACACCTCTAGTTTTTTCTACCTCGGGCATGATTGGCAGAGAATGTTCAATGGCACTGAAGACACTGGCATGCCTGATTGCAGAGAAGAACGTCGACCTACACGTATCGGTCATCATGGGTCAGCTCCGTTGTAAGCTGTCAGTCTGCCTTATGCGATGGGCAGTCACCTGTTTGCGTGGTTCAAGATCGTCATACCGCCGCAACAGGATGAATTTCACGACGATGTGCAGGTTGCGGGCAGCCTGAGCGTGATAGTACCTCACAGACATTTGCCCAACATTGTCCCATGGTAATGAATTTTTGATTTTTGGACATTGTATTGCATTGCTGCTCCATCTACATGGCTGTATTTGTGTTCCATTTCAAGTTTCCTAATAAAGATTGTGTCAAGTAGTAGTAGTAGTAGTAGTAGTAGTAGTAGTAGTAGTAGTAGTAGTAGTAGTAGTAGTAGTAGTAGTAGTAGTAGTAGTAGTAGTAGTAGTAGTAGTAGTAGTAGTAGTAGTAGCGCCAGTACGGAGAGCGGGTGACAGAAGTTGACAGAGGTACGTTTACACCGCTAGTTTTTTCTACCTCGGGCATGATTGGCAGAGAATGCTCAATGGCACTGAAGACACTGGCATGCCTGATTGCTGAGAAGAACGTCGACCTACACGTATCGGTTATCATGGGTCAGCTCCGTTGTAAGCTGTCAGTCTGCCTTATGCGATGGGCAGTCACCTGTTTGCGGGGTTCAAGATCGTCATATCGCCGCAACAGGATGAATTTCACGACGATGTGCAGGTTGCGGGCAGCCTGAGCGTGATAGTACCTGACAGACATTTGCCCAACATTGCCCCATGATAATGAATTCTTGAGTTTTTGGACATTGTATTGCATTGCTGCTCCATCTACATGGCTGTATTTGTGTTTCACATCTCCATTTCAAGTTTCCTAATAAAGATTGTGTCAAGTAGTAGTAGTAGTAGTAGTAGTAGTAGTAGTAGTAGTAGTAGTAGTAGTAGTAGTAGTAGTAGTAGTAGTAGTAGTAGTAGTAGTAGTAGTAGTAGTAGTAGTATTTATTATTTGACTAGGGGAGTCCCAACAGGCATGGCCTTGTTACAGGGAACCCTAGGTGAATCTTTGTGAGGTGAGCAAAAGTACCAGCAGATTGTGCCTGACGACAGTTTGGAGGAAGAGTGTTCCACCGACCTGCAGCCAGAAAAGAAACTGAGCACAGTCCATACCCAATATGTACAGTAGGTAATACTAAGGCAGCTGTATCCTGGCCACGAGTACGAGCATTTGTGTGCGGGCCAACTGAACGCAGGAGAAACAATGACTGAAGGAGGGGGCTAGCAATTGATGACAAGCAGCGATAGACCAAAACGTATAGTTTCAAATTAACTCTTTGCTCAAACGAATACAGATGACACCGTTGTAAAACTAATGCAGTTGGGGTCATTCTATCTAAACCAAATGCCTTCTTCATCGCAATATGGCTGACCGTTACAAGCCTGTTATATAGGGTAGTTTTCAAACAGTGCACATACGCATTACTTGCATATTCTAGAGTAGACTGTATAATTGACAAGAAGAAAGTTCTCCGAGCTGTAGCTGATAAATTGCGACGGCCATGAGCAAAACAGGCTAGTTTAGCGAAGACCACTGAACACACCTTTTCTACTTGTGGGCGGAACGTTAGATGCTCATCGATTAGTATACCGAGGTATTTCACAGCAGACACAGGGGAAATGACAATACCTTTACAGGTCAGGTACAGGGCTGGGCTCAGTGCAGGCAGGGCAGGACGCCGTATCAACATGAACTGTGTTTTAGTGGGGTTGAGCAGAAGGCCTTTCTCATCAAGGTATTGCTCTAGCAACCGCATACTATCCTGCAAGCGTAGCATAATTGTAGCCACATCAGAGCCGAATACGTAGAACGTCATCAGCGTACAGCTGCACGACACTCTGGTGAAATATATCGGGTACCCGGCGAATGTAGACGCAGAAAAGCAAAGGCCCAAGAACAGACCCCTGGGGGACCCCTCTTGTACAGGGTTTGGTGTCACCCTTCTCACCATTGACAGTAACCTGCTGGCTGCGGTTCGTGAGATAGTCTGAGAACCACTTGAGGACAGTGCCGCCTAAGCCAGTGGTGGCTAGCTCTCCCAGCAGACCTGTGTGCTGCACACGGTCAAACGCCTTGCTCATATCCGCAAAGACTACACCGCATTGGTCACCGTTGTCAAGTGCTCTGTTCCATCTGTCTAGGGGAAGAGGGTAGCTGGAAGTGAGACAACAAGGAATAGAAGGGTACTGGGAGAATACATGGTGGAAATAGACAAGGCCAAGAATCTGCCGTCGCCAAGCTAAAGATTCCCAAGAGGACAGAACATTGAGATCTTCTTTGGAAGTCGTCCAGTCAGGCCGACGCTTGAGTTTACTATTGCTCTGACGATCACCCACTACAGAGTACAGTCTAGTGTACATAACTGGTACGAAACCTTCACCAATTTGGTTACGAGTTGTTACCTGAAGGTCACACACCCGAGACACGCCCATAATAACTGGCATGCTTCCATGCCGTCCCGGCCCTCTCTTCCTTCCTCTCTCCCTCCTCCCACGTACATGCACATGTAGTCCTGGAATCACTTGCAGAGCCCGATATGAAGAGTAGATCTACCAAACAAGCTTCAAGGCCATTTCCAAAGAAAAAATTAATACGAGTGGATATCCACAAGCAGATGCCGCTATGCGCGCTTTTTGTAGGCGGCTCGATCGGGTGTCGCATGACGAACCATGGCATGACATCCTTACTGGACCTTAGTATAGTAGTCGACTCGAGTACCCGTTGCTTTGGCACGGCGTCCGCGGCTGTGGCCCCGTCAAGAAAAACGCGTCCCAGCTCTGTACGCTGTACGATGATGGCAGCTGCATTTTTGATTTTTGTCTTTTTCTTTTATGAGTTTGTCCAGAACAGATACCAGTAGTCATGGTAGTTGAACACGAAATGAGAGAATAGGAACGAACCTGATGTAGCCGCAATTTGCACCATGGCTTCTGGAACGCCAGGAGTAGACGAGCTGATTCGAGAGTATCTCCTATTTCGTGGATTCACCAACACCCTGCGAGCTTTTGAGACGGAGATAAAAAATGATAAAGACAAGACTTTCCGTGTAAGTCAACATAGATGGGATGCCACATAACATTCAAAATCTAAGTTCAGCTGGGGATATCCTTAGGCTGTCCATGGAAGAAAAGTACTAAATAATTCCAACTTGTTGTTCCGCTTGCTGTGGAAAATATGTTTGCGTGCATTCTTATTGTAACGTGTTACTACAGACTTTATAAAAGCATTTCCTTGCTTTGAAATCTCTAGAACAATTATTTTGATCTCCAATAAGAAAGGAAAGTCACTCACAATGATGGGGTTACTGGAAAATTATGCTTTGATTTACTCATGTGTGCATTCTAAATTTAAATTGTCTGCGACTTAGTACTTTCCCTCTCAAACGCTTGAAAACTCAAAAGCTTGAAAACTGTTATGATTATCAGCTTTGTGTTGTCAAGTGCTATCTTTAATGTGTGTGTGCGTGCGCGTGTGTGTGTGTCCATGTGGCCAGGCTGATCGCATAGTTGAACAGCTGCAGTCATACATTCACAGTTTTGACATTGTCGCCGTCAGAAACCTCTGGCAATATCTGGACCGGCGATTTTTCTCCCGGCTGGAACACGCGTATGCGTCGTCGGTGAGTCTACTGTTTGAAGGATGTACTCTGTACTTTGTACTCTGTACTCTGTACTCTCTATTCTCTACTCTCCACAATGTACATGTATAATGTATCATAAAACTACACAATACTGCATGTGACTATCCACTGAGTATCAAGTCTGATGACGAGTATCTTTACATGTAATCTACATGAAGACAATCCTGTTAGGGTGCGTTCCTGTCACTCGAGTTGAGCCTTGGTGTGAAAGTTGTAGCCTACAGGCATGGTGACCAGGTGACTGGTGTACGCATGAGCGCGTGACCGCTTATTCAACCATGTTCGATTGGGAATACAGGCCCAACGCTGCATCGCAGCCTTCTTGGGCCAAAACCAGTCGACTCAGCATCCAAAAGACTACAACATACAGTAAAACCTGTAACTAACGACCACCGTGACTAGCGACCAGCCTGGTACTACCGACCACTTTGTCAGGCACGGACGGTCTCACATTCAAAATGCACTGTGACTAGCGACTACCTGCTGAACGCGACCAGCGACCGCCTTTTCTTGTCCCAATGTCGAATTTTGACCCGTAACTAGCGACCGCGATGTAGCAAATCAAACATTGCTTGAAGCTCCTTCTCGAAATTTTGATGATTTTCCATGGTCGTTTCGATACTACAGCTGGACAAATGAGCACAGTCTAATTTTTACTGTGGAATCAGTGTGGATTGCACTACACCTGTCATAATTTCAAGTGCTGTCAAGAACAAACAAGATAGGAAACGTCTTGGAGAGCGCATCCAAAGCGCTCTTTGATCGATGTTACTAATACTACTCGAAGGAGAAACTAAGACTGAGCGGCTCTCTGTCGAAGTGCAATCACACAGCTCAGTCACCAGACTCACCACTACACCAGGTCACACTGACAGTCTGTGCTGGCTAGCTAGCATGCTACGGTATTATGGACTCAGCCGTACGGAACACAGGCCAGGATACGATGGCGGATAATAGTCTACAGTGAAAGGTGCGAAAACTCGCAACATCGCCGCATCACGTACTGGTACACACTACTCACTAGTACAGTTTACGCTACACTACATCCAAGTCGGAGCGACTGAGTTTCCACTGCAGATCAACACACTGATACCAGTTGCCAGTGTAGTCGCACACAGATGAGGATGGAGTCGATAGTGACTAGTGCACTGCCTGGCCAGGCCAGCGCTGCTCTGGAAACCCAGTCACCAGTGAGTCGACATACGTGTCAAAAGGTCGTATCGCTTTCGGTGTATAAAAAACTTGATTTTGTCTCTCTCCAAGTGTTGTATGATCTGAAAGAAGAATGTCAGTGCGCAAGTGGTGGGGGATTGTATTATCTGCATTTTGACATACATATCATATAATGGGATCCATATATGGTCGCGCGGTGCAAACCTCTAACTAAAGACCACCTGCCACTAACGACCACTTTTCCGGGCACCAAGGGGTGGTCGTTAGTTACAGGTTTCACTGTATAGGCCAATCACGGTCATCCGTGCTTTTATAAGAACGGAATGGCACTTTTAGTGACATTTTGCATACAAATTCTCATCTAGTAGGGTGCAGTCACCCAGTTTCGGTGGAAGTGGCGAGTTCGATTGGGAATAAAGGAGGAAGGGAGCGTCTCAGCTTCCTCGGACCAAGACCATTCGACTCAGCAACCCGCAGACTACGACTGGTGAAATTTTGATTTTAGGCTATACTTGCCGTTTAAGATGATTAACTGCGAACTCATTACTTCTACTAGCACCCACCAATTTAGAATGTACTGGCCAATCCCGCTCGCCCCGGTTGTTCTGATGGGTACTAATATTGTGTGTGAGTTCTGTACATGTATCCTGTATTGGTATTGCTGACATGCAAGCATCACTGGATATGCATGCGTGTGTGTGTGTGTGTGGGTGGGTGCGTGCGTGCGTGCTTGCGTGCGTGCGTGTGTGTGTGGGGGTGGGGGTTGTGTGTGTGTGTGTGTGTGTTTTGGTGTGTGTGTGTGGGGGGGGGGGGGGTGTGGGGGGGGGGGGTGTGGGTGTGGGGGGGGGGGTGCGTGTGGGTGTGTATGTGTGTGGGTGTGTGTTTGTATGTTGATGAACGTGTGTGTGTGTGTGTGTGTGTGTGTCGTTGTCCGTTGGTTCACAGGTGAAGCGTCTTGAAACATGTCTCCTCCGCTACTACCTCGTGAACTGTTGCTCGGCCAATCGATCCGACCGTATTCACGATTTCTTTGAGCGCTACGCCACGGAGCTGCAGCCCCATCCAGAGTGGAGAGAGTGGTTTGGTAAGTGGTGTGTCCTCAGTCCTCACCCTGAGGAAAGAAACATGTACCAGTTTCTTTCTCTTTTTTTTGGGCGGGGGGGGGGCATGTTGGGGCGATGGGTGAGAAGAAACAGAACAATTGTTGAGTACAGACCCATATAGACTGTGACAGTTCTTGACAGGTCCTTTGGCATTTGTAACAAAAGTAGTGTAACTCTGACAGACCTCCAGATTGTGATGGATACACTCAGACGGACTTTGAAGTGAGTTCGCAGTTGCTTTACGCCTGGGGTTCCACGACCAGAAACAAACACATTGATATTTGATAGTGTTCAAACTGTGCACTGTTGTTGCTGTTGGTGGTGGTGCTGCTGCTGCTGCTGCTGCTGCTGCTTTTGTTTCAAATCTCTATTCTCACGATGGCCTGAGGCCAATAAGAGATTGTTTGTTTGAATTCTTTATTCTCACGATGCCACCATTGCCAATAAGATTGTTGTTGTTGTTGTTGTTGTTGTTGTTGTTGTTGTTGTTGTTGTTGTTGTTGTTGTTGTTGTTGTTCTGCAGCGCTACCATTCACACGTAATCCAGATCAGGAGAGAGTGTTTGCTGTCTATTTCAGCCGGTCATGGCTTGACTCAGTGGTCATGTCACTGTACAATCTACTCAGCGTGATCTTCGACAATATGCATATCCACACCATACTCTCCTTTTTAGTACTTGCTGATTGCACTGCTGACAGTGCTAGTGATGGTGGATGTGGTGGTGGTGGTGGTGCTGCTGCTGCTGCTGCTGCTGGTGGTGGTGCTGGTGGTGATGATGGTGCTGGTGGATGTGGTGCTGGTGGCAGGTGCGGTTATGGTGCTGGTGGTGGCAGTAGTGCTGCTGCTGCTGCTGCTGCTGATGCATACCTACCTACACTGTAGGACATAGTAGTTGTAGTACCATGTGTATGCTGGGGATTCCCACATTGTAGGCCAGGGACAGCAAAACTGTGACTTTCGGTCATAATTATTTGTGCTGTCCATAATATGAAGAGAAAGGCCAAAAACGAAAATTGGCGTTTTGAATGTCATCGGACCCAATCGTGCGCATCCGGTGACTACAAAGCTTCTTTTTTTTTTGTTCGCATTTATTTTTGCCTGAAGGTTTGTTTCTGCTGTCCCTCACCCTGGTACTGTCTTCTGTATTACTGCATGTTATGTGCCAACTGCATACACTGGGCCATGGGTGTTGTTCCTTGACAATACTGATCCTAATACCTCTTCCAGCGTTACTGCAATATTTTGACGACCAGCGTAGGATACACAAGCTCTCGGAAGAGGTGGAAGGCTTGCGTCACGAGCTGCACATCCTGCACTCGCAGCAGCACCAGCATCTAGTGGATCTCGAGAGTCAACAGGTCAGTAGCAGTCAGCTGTGCACACAGTGCTGGTGCTGCTGGTGATTTGGAAATGCTGTTGCTGTGAACGCTGTCCCTCTTTTGTACACGTGCTTTACTATTGCTAACGTTGCCAAGGGAACAGCAGACGGCGGATTGTTTTGCGCCCTGTTTACGCAAACACGGTTTTGGTGAAAACTGTTTGTTTGAACTGTTTTCGAAGTTCTCAAGGATAGACTAAGTGCTCTCGGATAGACTGATCATTTACACAGAGACCGGACCATGAAGCTGAAAAGGTGTGAATACGAAAACTCACTTCTAAGTGTTTTGAGTCATCCATCTTTTCCTATCATCTTCCATGTTATAATTATACTAATACTTTTTGGATCATACAGTTGCTATTCAGCGACCTTGCATGCGTTGGTACGCCAAGCTGTCAACCCTCTGCCATGCCGCTCACCGCTCAGATATATCCACGCATCATGACAGCTGAGGTGCCTGTCTGTCGCTGTGTAAATGATTGAAATGTTTTCTTCGTGCAACACGTATTTGTTGTCACAAACGGGATGGTGTGAATGTCGGTCTGTGTGCGTGTGTGTGTCTGTTTGCCTGTCTATGTGTGTGTGTGTGTGTGTGTGTTTGTATGTGTATCTGTCTGTCTGTTTATCTGTCTGTCCATCTGCATCTTCTGTCTGTGTGTTTTGAAGGCATCCGCTAAACGTGCCGCTCAGCGAAGTCGCCTCTCTGCGCCGCCTCAGCAATCGGTTGAGACGAAGTCCACTTCCTTCTCCACGGCTGGTAGCACAACGACAGTGACTGAATCACGTGATATTGAGGCTAGTCCACCGGCCACAAGTCAGGTAGCAGTCAGCCACCAGCCAAGTCAAGCTACCGCTGCCAATCTGAGTACAGCTGGAGGCGCGGGTAAAGCTGCGACGTCAGCAGATAACAGTACGAGCTCATCGACAACCGTTCATTTACCTGCGGCCTCGACTGATGCCGCTACTGCTGCGGGGAAAGCGTCTGGAGCCGTGTCTCCCATTGCTATCACGGATGATTTCTTCAAGTCAGCTAATGCGTATGTTACTATTATCTCTGTGTGGACGTGCATGTGTATGTGTCTGTGTACATGTGTACATGTGTGTGTGTGTGTGTGTGTGTGTGTGTGTGTGTGTGTGTGTGTGTGTGTGTGTGTGTGTAGTGTCTGTCTGTCTTCATGTCTGGTATGTCCTTTGGAATTGCTGTGTGTAGCATGGATTGCCAAGATTCGCTGACATGCCAGCCTTGCTGTGTTCTTTCTCTTGTGTACACTGAAGTAGTGCTAGGTGTTGTAAAAGTAAAGTCTGCACATCCGCATTGCCACTGCCTATACAGTGCTGTCATGTTTGCTAATGCATGTGCATGCACTGTGTTCCAGTGATCTCGGTTGTCCGACTGTCTGACATTGAATTGCAGCAGCTGTGCAGGGTGAACTGCTGTGGCTGTATGACTTTGGTTATTGCTACTGGTCAGCCCTCCTCTGTAATTCATTATCTACATGTCCGTATGTTTTGTCTGTTGGTGTGTGTGTGTGTGTGTGTGTGTGCTCGTGTGTGCTCGTGTGTGTGTGTGTATGTGTGTGTGTGTGTGTGTGTGTTTGTGTATGTATGTGTGTATGATTGGTTTCGAAAGAAATTCACGCGCAGCCGGCAGCGGTGGTAACTCACCCACGCAGCCAGCCGGTAGCACGACAGCCAAGTCTCCACTACCATCGCACCCATCCCTATCCGCGCAATCTTCCCGCCAGTCTCACAGCCACACTCCTACACGCCGTGCCGACTCATCACCAGCATTAGGCAAATCTCCTGCTACTCCGTCGTCGGTAGTCCGGGCGCTAACAAACTTTGTATTACCGTCAAACACTGACAGTACTACGCCAGTTAACACTACCAGCAGTGGCAGTACAACTAGGCACACACCCTCTGCTGGCATATCAAGCAGTCAGTCTTTTGATTCTAATATTGCAGCTGCGGTGGGTGGTGCATCGACCGGTAGTGCTGCAAGCACTGCCACGACTGCTGGCCAGCGAGGTGCACAGACACCGGAGCACCGCGTCAGAACTCACTCACAACCGACGCCATCAGCACCGACCACCACTCCTGGTGTGTTTATACCGGGTATAACAAAGTGAGTGATTTCACTGATTTGTCATGATGGCATCATGTGTAACTGACATGCACTTCACAGTCCACTGTACGAGGGTTTCACGTATATTGCACTGATTTTGCTCATGTACTGTGTGAGTATGTTGTTTGGAGTGTTGCTCTGTCATTGGGTTGAGCAATGCTATTGCATTGTGTTGTGGTCCATGTTATTTACGGTGTGCGTGCATGTGTGTGTGTGTGTGTGTGTGTGTGTGTGTGTGTGTGTGTGTGTGTGTGTGTGTGTGTGTGTGTGTGTGTGTGTGTGTATGTTGCTGTTACTGCTACTGCTGTTGTCGTTGTTGTTGTTGTTGTTGTTGTTGTTGTTGTTGTTTGTTGTTGTTGTTGTTGTTGTTGTTGTTGTTGTTGTTGTTGTTGTTGTTGTCTGAATATGCATGGTTTCAGCTCTGATAAGCCGAGTTCAGCCACGCTTCCCCGGGGTCAGTCACACCGCTCCCCGGCCACAAGTCCCAGCGGTGCGGTTTCCACAGCTGCTGGCACTGGTGTCGGTGTGGATGGCATGGCAGGCAGCACTGTCACTGCTACTTCATCAGCTACCACAGGCACCCCTACTGCCATGGTCGCCAATCCACTGGCTGTACAAGAAACAAGTGCAGTTACACAACGTGCATGTAAGTCTTGCAAGCGTCTTCATCATTCACAAACTTGCAACATGTACTGTGCTGTCTTTGGGAACTGGTGCCCCGTGTTCAAGAATGGAGCTCCTTGTTTTTCTTGGGCAAACTTTCACTATGTGCGGGCTTGCCGCGACGGTCATGTCTGGTTCTTTCATCACGGGATCTGTGTTTATGGCATGTCTACTATGCATGTGTGTGGGGGGGGGGGGGGGGCATATACCGCTGACTGTACTGCCTTGTTCTATGCCGATCAAGATCCTGATTGTCTCCGTTGTTCCTTTGTGATGTTGAGATAATATGAGAATATGCGGCTCTTCGCAGTAGCGGCTTTAGCTGTAATGTTTGAAGAGCTTGCCCGCTCCCAATGACGTTGTGACGCCATGATGTTTGGCATGTGGTGTGTGAACTCTACGTTGAGAGCAGCTGACTTCTCCGATATGGTGCACATTTAGAAACTACTTGCTCTACACCTGCGATCTTGAGTGGAAACCTGTCTTACATGTGTCTTTTATCCCAGATGTGGAGCATTAAGTATATTATCACAGTTTTGATAGGGGTGCCATCAGCTCCTCCTTCAGTGATCTTGGTCCCCCTTGTCAGCTTCTCAAGTACTGCACACTGCACTGGACATGTTGGAAAATACACCCTCAGTCTGATGTGTGCTCTGTACCGGGAATGTGTCTACAGTGTGTCATGAATTTAGTCTGGTTCTTGTTTTTACTTCTTCTGGTGCTCTTCTTGCAGACACGGAGGAGGATTCTCCATTCATCTTTCTTAGCGAGGTGAGCACCAGCACTGCTTCTTCTTTGTGTGGGAGCGTTGTGATTTATCAGTTCGTGCTTGTCTTGTGGAATGGACCTCATTGTATTTTCTCGTTTACTCTTATCCATTTTTTCTGTGTATGTGTGTGGCTCGCAGGAGACGTACATCGAGCATCGTGCCAGCGTCACAAAGTGCCGTTTCGCACCGGGTGGCTCCTGTGTAGCAAGCTGTGACATTGAAGGTGTTGTAAAGTACGTGTGTTTGTGTGGGTAGGGTGTGCGTGCATGCATGTGTGTGAGTGTGTGTGTGAGTGTGTGACCAGCACTGCTAGTCTGTAGTGTGGTAGTATATTACACACTTTTGACCAGTGGTGTTTGCCTTGCTTTAGCAGTTGGACCATGTCTTCACCATGTCTTCACCATGTCTTCACGGCTTCTGCTGATGACATGATACTGTGTGACTGTGTGAAGTTACATGATACTGTGTGACTGTGTGACTGTGTGACTGTGTGAAGTTACACAAGCTTGTAGATGGGTGAGACTTCTATGAACATACGTGTACCTGTCACAGGCTGTCAGGTGGCTAGATTTTGTAAAGGATGTGAATATTGCACTCCTGCAAGTCTGTGTTTATACGTATGGTTAGAATGGGTAGTGCCACATTTTTCACCCTTCTTTTCGGATAGTTGCCAATGTTAGCGCTATGACAAGTGCACACCTATGTGTGGATGTTGGAGGTTGAGCAGCTCTTGAGATCTTTTGCACGTGTGTTACACATATAAATCTAGCCTTTCAGAGTAGCTAGATTCCTTTGCGTGGCGTCGTTCAGTTCAGAAGAAGAAATTTAGCTCTTGCCTTGGCATGTCTCAAACATGTTTGGTTGAATTTTGTAAATTTTTGTTGCATTTGTTGTAGTGTGTGTGCATTGTTATTGATGTATTTCTTCTCGTGTATTGTTAACAATGACTATTGTATGCTCTCTCTCTCTCTCTCTCTCTCTCTCTCTCTCTCTCTCTCTCTCTCTCTCTCTGTCTCTCTCTGTCTCCCTCTCTCTCTGTCTCTCTCTCTGTCTCTCTCTCTGTCTCTCTCTCTGTCTCTCTCTCTCTCTCTCTCTCTCTCTCTCTCTCTCTGTCTCTCTCTCTCTCTCTCTCTCTCTCTCTCTCTCTCTCTCTCTCTCTCTCTCTCTCTCTCTCTCTCTCTCTCTCTCTCTCTCTCTCTCTCTCTCTCTCTCTCTCTCTCTCTCTCTCTCTCTCTGTCTCTCTCTGTCTATCTCTGTCTCTCTCTCTGTCTATCTCTGTCTCAATCTGTCTTTCTCTGTGTCTCTCTCTCTCTGTCCTCTCTCTCTCTCTCTCTCTGTCCTCTCTCTCTCTCTCTCTCTCTCTCTCTCTCTCTGTCCTCTCTCTCTGTCCTCTGTGTGTGTCTCTCTCTCTGTGTGTCTCTCTCTGTCCTCTCTCTGTCCTCTCTCTGTCCTCTCTCTCTCTGTCTCTCTCTCTCTCTCTCTCTCTCTCTCTCTCTCTCTCTCTCTCTCTCTCTCTCTCTCTCTCTCTCTCTCTCTCTATCCTCTCTCTATCCTCTCTCTATCCTCTCTCTCTCTATCCTCTCTCTCTCTCTCTCTCTCTCTCTCTCTCTCTCTCTCTCTCTCTCTCTCTCTCTCTCTCTCTCTCTCTTCTCTCTCTCTCAGAGTTTGGTCACCAAATCCCTGTCGTACTGTTTCCACTGTGATGGCTAAGAATCCGGTCATGACAATAGACTGGATGGCTGCTGGTGCTGCTGCCAGTAATAACAATGTGGTAAGCATCAGTCCTACACACCTACACACATACACACCTACAGACACTGTGGCATTGTGGGGCTGTTAGTAGGCATCACTGCACAACACTGCACAACACTGCACAACACTGGGTAGGCATCATGGGTGTACTCACGTACATGGATGATGAGGTGAGGGGGATAGGGGTTCCTGATGTGTTCTTTTATGTGCATGCTGTTCTTCCTGTGTGACACACTCAACTACAATCATAGTGTCACCTCTTGTCAATTGACAATACAATCCTTAGCATTTTCCCTCTGCATCTTCTCCCAACATAGATATCTTATTTACTGAGCTAACCTTCCGTGCATTATTCTTGATAGTGTGGATTCCCTTCACTGTGTATTCACTTCCCTGTGTGTAATGTCTATGTTGTTGTTGCTATAGTTACTGCTCGGCTATGGCAATGGCAAGGTGCGTATGTATGATGTGGGCACCAAGCTGAACACGGCTGAGTTTGAGGCATCGGCCGAGTATCCACGGTAAGTGTACTTTCCGCTTTCCCTTATACATGTACTTGGTGTGTGTGTGTCTGTTTCAATCAGAATCAGATCCGCTATCGTTGCGATAAAGAGAAAATCTGTGGGTGCACATCCAGTGCATTTGCAGATTTGCGTGCTTCTCTTGCGACTGGTGTATACATGGTACATGGTGTGTGTGTGTGTGTGTTTCTTTGTGTATGTGGATGTTTGTGCATGTTTGTTTGTGTGCGTATTTGTGCGTACATGTATGTGCACACGTATCATATTGATAATGCAGCGTTGTCTCGCTAGCTAGTACGTACAGCTCATCTGGCACTGTGATTGCCGTGGGCTCTGCTGGTGCTGCCACCACAGCGTCACTGGCCCAGGAACAACAGGGTAAGGGATATACTAGTACTACACGTACACCTTATCCTGGGCTGTAGTAGTCACATGTCTGACAGTGATGACACTGTATATAATTACACCGGATGATGCAATTACACTACATTGCATTACAATTACATAGACAAAGTTAGTAGCAGTGGTGAGGCTTCCTGCAGCTTCATAGGAAAAAAAGGTTTCAGAGCAGACTCGCTCTCTTCCCATTCACTCTGCAAACTCGAACTCATTTCTCAATCAACTTTTACGTTTCGGCAAAATTGCCCTCATCAGGTATACAGAGTGAATGGGAAGAGAGCGAGTCTGCTCTGAAACATTTTTTTTACATAGACAAAGTTTGGCAAATTTCCTCAAGAATGCTCGATGCGCAAGGTGCAGAGCTTTTTGCATAATAATTACTGTGAAACCGGAAAGTCTAACGAGTCACAAAGTCTAGCGTTTTAACGACCAATTTTTTTTCGTTATTTCAAGAAACGTTATCGCGAACCCGGTTTGAGATGTCTGTGTAAAGATGCACATACAGATGGGTGGCCAGGTAGCCATCGTTAAACTTTCAGCACGTTATCATGCCAAAATTACAGAAAAACGTTAAACTTTTTGGTCGTTTAACTTTCCGGTTTTACAGTATTTTGGAAGCGAGAGAATCCAAACTATACAATTACATTTGTGTTCAGGGACACCACTAGGGCCAGTTTGGAGTGGAGAGAATCGCGCGTGTACCACGCAGACTGCACAGCGTGTGAGTGCGGTGTGTACTGCACGGAGATTTCGTGTACTTGGTGTGACTTGTTTTTGTTTTGAAATGATTTGGTTGTACATAGTTCAGTCTGGGGAGTACTAAAACAATGGTGTTTTAGTACTCCCTGGTTCAGTCCGTAGTTTTCCTTCGCCTCACGATGCCATCGCACGCCCACTGCTCTGTATTTGGCTGCTCAAAGCGCCGATGCAGGGATGCGTGTAAGCAGAGCACCTGCCTTACCATGAGCATGACTATCGAACAAAATGATATCATTGCGGAAGCAGGTGATTGAAAAAGAGTATGGCGTGCGAACAAAAACACCACCTGCACAAGAAATGGGAGCTGCGTGGGATTTCTGGGATATAACTTCAAGCAGACAATCCAAGGCTTCATCGGATACTGTCACGAAAGATTATGAGGCGGCAACAACACCAAGACTCGGCCGGATAACAAGGACTTCATCAACGGAGAGAAGCTCATTTGTGTGCATTTGTTGCAAATCGACCAATGCTGAGTAATGGGCATTTAACACCATTAATTTTGTTGCCTGTCGATCCGTTCTTTTAGTAGTTCGACGGCAATGGGATAATGGTCGTTGTCAAGGACGATCCCATCTAGGACATTGCGTGCAACACCCGACAAGCATGTTTTCAGATAAGCCAGTTTTTCTGCATGGGATAGACTTGGGTTGTCATGCACGGTAGATTGAAAGACATCCCAGAATTCTGAAAACTTTAGTACGTCACCCCGGAAATTTGGTGAGTGCGGGCATTTTAGCAACACCATTGCCCTCTCTCATCACGCCACAGAGTGTATCTTCTGAGATACTCGGGTCTCCAGCAAGAGAAGACTGCAGGAATTAAGGCTTTAACAACGAGGCATGAGATGATGGTACAGGCGTTGCTGCCATTCCGGCCATCAATGCGTGACTGATACACATCATAGGAAAATAGATGTTAATCAGACGACCACTGGCTCGCTACTGATGTTGCTCTGCAGATAGAGACTTGGTGAAAGCCAAGTGTGGGCATTTCACTTCTAGAAGACCCAACTTGGGATACGCGGACTTATCGTAAACCAGTCCATCAGGGGATGCACCAATGTACTGACTGTTAGTGTGCAGCACAATACCACACCGACGCGTCTGTACAGGATCTTGTTATTTTTCTTCTCATTGCTGCAAACTCGCTTTCCAGTTAGCAGCAAATGTGACAGGATCGTGGATGCAGTCACATGAGGAAATTTCGATCTGTCTTGGGTCCAGACAGAGTCGGGAAACACTGGTGCTGGAATGCGCGTGGCGACGGGAGCTGCATGACGGGTCGACCGACCGCTTGCTTCTTGGTGCATGACGGGTCGACCGCTTGCTTCTTGCTTCTTGGTGCTTGGGGATTGGACTTGTAGAATAATGCCTTGGTCTGGATGTAGAACAAATGTCACAGACACAGCTCAGGAGTCGAGGTAAAAAAATCAGTCGACCAAGCCCAGTAGGAACGTGCCTCGTAAAGTAGCTCCGCTTTCCGTCCTGTCAACAAACCACCATACTTTCGTGGATAATCTCTCAGCTGCTTTATGGTCCAAGACGGCTGGGGAACCTCCTCTAGCTCCAGCTCTCCAACACTACCGACTCTGCCCTCCTCGCTCCCCGTGACTGTGCACCACCTCAGGAAAAAACGAAACCAGGAAGAGTGTCTACTTTGTCTGCTTGCTGCATGGGCGCTGGGTCACCTAACGCTTGCCCCCTTTCACCCCCCCCCCCCCTACTATTATTTGCGCAAATGGTTTATTGCTGGGTACTGATATGATATTCCTGCAACTTGTTTGTGTTGCGTAATGTTTTCCTTATCGTTGTCATCCTCATCAATGTCATCCTCCTCAATGTCATCCTCCCTACCAGCTGCTTCTTTGGTGGCTGGCGCAGCTCACTCACCGCAGCATCAGGCGTCCGCCCGTCACCACCGTCTCTCGCTGACGCGCTTGTTCTCCAGCTCGTCGTCCAGTTCGTCTGTAGCAGTGGATACAGGTTGCGGACAGCTGTCACTGTGGGATGCGCTCAACACCACTATGCTGGTAGGTCTGCTACTAACTGTTGTACATCTCTACTGCCAACACTGCACACTACATGACTGTACTGCAGAGGCACTGTATGTGCTGGTAGATGTTGATTTGATATGCAGGCCCGCCACAACCGGACCAACTTTGTGGCAGCTGTAGCATGTTTACTGCTGAGGAGCGCATAATAATTGTGTCCCTGTCATATTATACACGAAGTAGGAAAGACTATGGTACGACCGGACCAGTTGAAAACTGCTCCCAACAGTCCTGATGTGTATATTATGTATTGAGATTGATGCTGTCAGTATCATTCAGTGTACTGCTTACTGTGATGTAGTGCCGTCTGGCTGCCAGCGGGTTGCACAGCTTTAGCATTAAGGTGTGAAGACGGCATGCAATCATCAGTTAGTGTATACTAGTAGTGTGTGTTTGCCACTTGGATCCTTTTAGTCCTTGTCAAGGTGCAGCTTTGTCTTTGTAGTCACTTGTGTGTGTGTAACCATGGTAATCATGGCTGCCTGCCTGCCTGTATATTGCAGATGCCCCTGACCCTAGACCCAGCACCGACGTGCATCAACACATTGCAGTTCAATCACCAAGGCAACCTGCTGGCGTGCGGCTCTGCCGATGGAATGATTCGTATATTTGGTAAGCAGGCCTGGTTCTTTCCACATCTACGATCTAGTCTGTAGGTCGGTGTTTACCGCAATGATATGCCAAGTACAAGTACATGTACAAGTGCTGAAGTACATGCTGTAGCAGCTTGAGTGGTCTGTTTATTGCCGAGTTCGGGTTGTCTTTTTGCTTTGGTTCATACTTTATGTCTTCAAGCGACTGGCTTTGTGAATAAGCCCATTCTCATAGTAGCTTACTGAAGTACATGCATGCGCTGTACAGCCCTGCTGCAAGAGAACACTGTACATGCTGTCTAACAGAAATTTGTTTCGATTCAGAAACGTCCACTTGTTCCCGCGGTGGGTGTTGTTCACTGTCTTCTACTGTATTCTCTTTGTGCTCACTGTTCAGATATCAACACCGGAGACTGTCTGGTTGGCTGGCATGCACACATGGGCCAGGTCTACAGTATTGGATTCCACCGCGATGAGAACTCTCTTTTTTCGCTGGGTCACGATGGCAAGGTGTGTGTGTGTGTGTACGTGTGTGTGTGTGTGTGTGTGCGCGCGCACGCACATCTGTGTGTGTGTGTGCGTATGCGTATGCGTGTGTGTGTGTGTGCATGTGTGTACGTGTTTGCGTGTTTGCGTGTGTGTCTGTGCGCTGTAGTGTTACCATGAAACATGAAGAGATGAATATGTGAGCCTTGTACAAACGATCTACTTGTGGCTCGTTGTGTATGCGTGTGTGTACACGTGTGTGCACGCCTGAGTGTGTGTGTGTGTGTGTGTGTGTGTGTGTGCGCGCGCCTGAGTGTGTGTGTGTGTGTGTGTGTGTGTGTGTGCGCGCGCCTGAGTGTGTGTGTGTGTGTGTGTGTGTGTGCGCGCGCCTGAGTGTGTGTGTGTGTGTGTGTGTGTGTGTGTGTGCGCGCCTGAGTGTGTGTGTGTATGTGTGTGTGTGTGTGTGTGTGTGCGCACGCGCCTGAGTGTGTGTGTGTGTGTGTGTGTGTGTGCGCGCGTCTGAGTGTGTGTGTGTGTGTGCGCGCGCGCGCCTGAGTGTGTGTGTGTGTGTGTGTGTGTGTGCGCGCGCGCCTGAGTGTGTGTGTGTGTGTTTGTGCGCGCGCGCGCCTGAGTGTGTGTGTGTGTGTGTGTGTGTGTGTGTGTGCGCGCGAGCGCCTGAGTGTGTGTGTGTGTGTGTGTGCGCGCGCGCCTGAGTGTGTGTGTGTGTGTGTGTGTGTGTGTGTGTGTGTGTGTGTGTGTGTGCGCGTGCGCGCCTGAGTGTGTGTGTGTGTGTGTGTATGTGTGTGCCCGCGCCTGTGTGTGTGCATTACGGTGTGTTTTCTCTTGTCCAGTTCAACCAGTGGAGTATCCGGCAAGTTGCACAGAAGATCAACGAGATCCCACTGGATACGAGTGTGATCGGTGGACTGCAAATGGCAATCTCCGCTGGACCATTCACCTATTCGCCGTACAACAGTTTGTTTCGACTGGATGATGACGGCGACCATATACTGACGTCCACCGCCAACCAGGGATCAATATTTCAGGTTTGTGACTGTTTGTTTGTGTTGTGTTGGGATGTACGCTACTACAGTGCTGGCCAGAGCCATCCAACCTCATGAATAAAGTAGCACCGCGTTCGAGTACACAGACCAGTATGTGTAGTGCTAGGGCTGCACAGACCAGTATGTGTAGTGCTAGGGCTGCACAGACCAGTGTGTGTAGTGCTAGGGCTGCACAGACCAGTATGTGTAGTGCTAGGGCTGCACAGACCAGTATGTGTAGTGCTAGGGCTGCACAGACCAGTATGTGTAGTGCTAGGGCTGCACAGACCAGTGTGTATAGTGCTAGGGCTGCACAGACCAGCGTGTGTAGTGCTAGGGCTGCACAGACCAGTGTGTGTAGTGCTAGGGCTGCACAGACCAGTGTGTGTAGTGCTAGGGCTGCACAGACCAGTGTGTGTAGTGCTAGGGCTGCACAGACCAGTATGTGTAGTGCTAGGGCTGCACAGACCAGTGTGTGTAGTGCTAGGGCTGCACAGACCAGTGTGTGTAGTGCTAGGGCTGCACAGACCAGTATGTGTAGTGCTAGGGCTGCACAGACCAGTGTGTGTAGTGCTAGGGCTGCACAGACCAGTGTGTGTAGTGCTAGGGCTGCACAGACCAGTATGTGTAGTGCTAGGGCTGCACAGACCAGTGTGTGTAGTGCTAGGGCTGCACAGACCAGTATGTGTAGTGCTAGGGCTGCACAGACCAGTGTGTGTAGTGCTAGGGCTGCACAGACCAGTATGTGTAGTGCTAGGGCTGCACAGACCAGTGTGTGTAGTGCTAGGGCTGCACAGACCAGTGTGTGTAGTGCTAGGGCTGCACAGACCAGTATGTGTAGTGCTAGGGCTGCACAGACCAGTGTGTGTAGTGCTAGGGCTGCACAGACCAGTATGTGTAGTGCTAGGGCTGCACAGACCAGTATGTGTAGTGCTAGGGCTGCACAGACCAGTATGTGTAGTGCTAGGGCTGCACAGACCAGTATGTGTAGTGCTAGGGCTGCACAGCGCCCGTCGCTAGTTTATTCATGAGGTTGGATTTCTTTGGCCAGTACTGTACTCGTACATGTAGGCTTGTTATAGTCTTGCCAGGTTGAGTTGTGTCTATGTCATGCCAGGTTGAGTTGTGTCTATGTCTTGCCAGGTTGAGTTGTGTCTATGTCATGGCAGTAACTGTAGTCAGTACAGTGTACTTCATGCTAGCTATTCTCTCTCTCTCTGCTTGTGGCAAGAAGCTTGAGGACAGCACCGTGCAACCTGTTACCAGTGAAACAAGGTTTCACCTCCTACCCATGTGACTAAGAGTCCATAATCCCCCAGAGTGCGCAACTTCACTTATCAGATCTGAGACGGCGAAATCCGTGTTGCACGTCATGGTGTGACATCGTGAGTAGGGGAAGTGTGTCCGTGGTGGACCGCGTCGACGGAATGACGCAAGTCCGACCCAAGAAATGACGTACATCACGGATTACGCCGTCCCGCAACCCCATCCCAGTTGTACACTCTGGGGGATTATGGACTCTTGATGGGACCCACCCTGTTCAGATCCCTACCCATGGGACCTGCCTGTCATAGGCTTTCGAACACAGGTTGCCTATGCAACCAGGGCGAGCCTTGCGGCCACCTTACACATTCCATACATTTGCTGAATCTTAAATCTTACAGACCAGTATTGGTGATGCTTCTCAAGACTAGGGGTGCGTTCTTAAATTCTCTAGCTTCTAGGAGAAGAAGAAAAGAGAAGTCGAAGAAACTGGGATTCTTCAAGAACGGGTCTCGAAGAATTCGGAGATATTTTGCAGATGGCAAGCAAAATGAAGCGCCAAAGGGGCCGCGATCTTGAGTGCCACGAATATAGTATGCGCTGTGCGTATGCGAAAAGGGAAATGCGTACACTCATGATCAACACGTGGCTTTTAGCCTAGTTCGCATGCGCTGATCCCAAACCGCGGGAATCTCCAAGTTTCAACCACCTCTGAAGCTTGGAGAGCTTGGAGAGCTTTGGAGAGCCTCCTAAAATTCGGAGAGGATATAAGAACAGCTCTCGAACTTTTCGGAGAGTCTCCAACTTTTCCGAGAGGATTTAAGAACGCACCCTAGTATCGGTGATGCTTCTCAAGACCAGTATTTGTGATGCTTCTCTAGACCAGTATCGGCGATGCTTCTCAAGACCAGTATTGGCGATGCTTCTCAAAGCACCGTGGTTGGCTCTCACCCCTCTGTCGTACTTTGTGTGCCAATTGGTCATGGGGCACGAGTAAAGTGAAATAAAACAAAATAAACAAGCAGCAGGTGCGCTTAGGCCTTCCAAGACTAGCTGTCTATGCTCGCAATACTGTCTCTGTGCCATGTTGTCATTGTTCAGCTGTGTGATGCGTCATCGTCCACACTTAGCAATGTGCTACCACGTAAAGCGGTGACACTGCGTGGACACGCCGCACCGGTGGTCGGCATAGACTGGAACACGGCACTGAGCTGCAGCACGTGCCTGAGCAGTGCACAGGACGGTAGCATCTACGTGAGTACGCTACTCAAACAGTAGTGTGCCTGTGTGTGTGGTCCCATCATCAAGCTACGACTCTGGTGTGACTGTGCAGCGGCTCGGGTGGAACGGCATGCCGTGACATGAGTTGTACACTTCATTCATCCGCAGACACACTCACACTAAGTACAATCCTGTCATGTGCAACCCCGTCGGCAGCACAGTGAGTCGTCGAGTAATCTCATGACACCAGTGGTGCTGGATCTCCAGCCAGTGCCTCCTTGTCTTCACACACTCATGGGGTTTTAACAACATTGTAGGAATGTGTTGAGATTTCAACGTGTTACTCCCTTTTGCGTATCACTGAGACCATATTGCTGTCATGTTGTTTTCGCACCGAAAATGAATACATTGTGAGCATCTTTTTTTTTAATCCTCTACGTCTAAATGTGTTGTTGATGTGACAAAGAACTTTTTACAGAACTCATGAAATCATCAAATTTTTTAATGTGTTTGCACCATTTTTACTCGCCGCATCCGCCGTTTCGCGCAGCCGAGAATGTTTATATCACTGAGTCTGAGACACCCCCCCCCCCACACACACACACACACCTGTAGCTGTGCACAATATATCTGTCTAAATCGAAATCGAATTGCACATGTCAGAGACATCATCAATTTCCACGTCCACTTATCTCACTTGTTGTGCTGTTCTGCTTTTGTTGGTGATATTTTGCATTCACACCTTTGGCCATGGCCTCGATTTATTTCTACTTTACTTTCATTTTTTAAACAGATTTTACCACATTTTAGGGCAAAGATGCTAGGAATTATCAGACTCTTCAAAGAGAGCATCAAGCTTAAGCCAAACTTACTAACAGAAAAAGAGAAGAAAATGTTAATATGGCACACTACAGGGACCATTTTGAGAAATTATATTGCATGTAACATGTACTAGAAAAATTACAGCAACAGCAGCATCAGTAGCATAAGTACTTCCAAAATTGTAGAAAAGTGTTTGTTACTTTGAAGTATGTACAAGGAGACACGGCAAGCAGGCAACAGTCGGGAGTATACTGTACATAGAGTTTTTCATTGATATGTGCAATATGTAACACTGGGTTAGAAAATAGTATTTTCAGAAATAGAAACACGAGTGGAAATTGAAATTCCTTTATAGGAGGAGGAGGAGGAGGGCTGCTTTAGCAGCTCAGATGGATTGAGAATAATACAAGACATCGTCATTCGGATCACAGCTTGAGGATTTTCGTGGCCGCTTGAGCAAGATCGGAAATGGAAACCCGCCCGTTCTGGACAATGTACTTAGACACGGCGGCATACTCGTCCTTGCTGATATAGATGAACTTACCGCGGTCGTCGAGCAAGCCTTCTATCTCACCACTTGCCAGGAGATCTTTGAGACGTGCAATGGCGTCCTAGCAACGCACACACACACACACACACACACACACACACACACACACACACACACACACACGTAACATGTCATGAGTGAAAGTCTGTCTAAAAATGCGGAGTAATGTTTGCACTCAGTTGTAACAGTGTGCCGTGAGCCAGTTATGTCCTGGATGATTTGTTAATCATCCAATCAAAGTGGAGAGCTGCATGCCAGCGCAGTGCACAACCAGGGACTTCAAAAGCAGAAAAAGAACATGTATTCCATCCTTTTTGGTACCATTTCCCTAACAAACAAGATAACAGCAGGACAAACATGCTGCTTGCATAATACAGCCACCCACCAAGGAATGACAGACTACTAGTAGTACATGAACACAGGCAACCAAGGAAAGGCAAAGCATATGCAAACAACTACTTATACCATGCACTGCATTTGCAATACTGGTGTATGATACCACTACATTTAAAAAATTCATGGTTCGCTTGAGACTCGGTTAGACTGAGTTTTCAGCATCCGTAGGAACGCCACCACCCTGCAAAGATCTAAGGCGCAGATGCAACTCCTAAAGCGGTGGGAGGTGAATAGATCAGACCCACCAGCAAAGTGATCAAAGACCGAATATCCCATTCATTGCATCCATGTTTCCCCTCGTGCCAACTAATACATTTACTACTCTAGATCAGAATTCCAGGTCTGCGTGTTGTCCGAGTAGTAACTCTGTGCACTATGTGACCATGTGGAGCAACACACAGCATGCACCACCACCATCCATGAATGGGTCGAGCACAATCAAAACCCCTGTCATGAAACGTCCCAAAGAACTACAGTACAGTGGCTGAATACAAGGTGGCCAGTAGCTACTAGCAGTAGTACCAGTAGCAGCACCAGCAGCTTACTTGTGTCTTGAGATCGAAATGAGCAGCTAGATCTTCCAGTAGCACAACTTTCTTTTCCTGAGGGGGGGGGGGGGGGGAGGGCCGACAGAAAAAAACACAAGTTCACGGGTAGAAAAAAAGTGTGGAGAGGTAGAGAGTTTCAAATTATTCTCATGGGTAGAAATCGCACAAAAGAATATGCCAACTTTTCGGACATGCCTTGGCCAAACAACAGCAGGAGTACAAACGATACCAACACATGAACTGTCCATATGGCAAGCGAACCCAAAACTAGATAAAAAGAAGAAGCCTCAACTCCCTCAAACTTCTGAAAGAAGCCCCTAGTGACAGTAACGTACTGAAAAAGAGCCGGACTCGATTTCGCCCTGGTATCCCAACATCAGTTTCCCGGAGAAAAGGTGGTCAAGGCAAGTTGAAACGAACGCAACATGCCCCCCGTCAACCGCTGTTGTTCCCTCTCCTCTAGACATCCTATTATTTCTATCGCCTTCTTTGTTCAATATGATTGATTAGTATGCCCCTCAGGATGCTTTCTTACACTAAGCAAACCTACTACAAGCAAGAGAAACAGTAACAGATAGTCAACTCGCCGGACAGTTTGCTTGTGGTTTCTCAAGCCACTCTTATGCCGTTACACTGGCGTCAGAAGCACTCAGCAGAAACAACATTGTACAGGTATCGACCAGAGTCGAATGGCATCCATGGGAATCAGCCGTGTGTCCTCCCTAAGGGCTTCTCTCTCTCTCTCTCTCTCTCTCTCTCTCTCTCTTCTCTCTCTTCTCTCTCTCTCTCTCTCTCTCTCTCTCTCTCTCTGATCAGCACACAATTAATCTGCTAAGTGTGCAATGATGAAAGAACCTATGTATACATGTACGAGCACTTAGCTTAGAAAGGGTGTGTGCACTGTGTTTAGATCCACAAGCATCACTCACCTTGATATGGCTGATGAACTTTTGAAGCAGGTTTCCTTCCTATTCACACAGAACACAGCATTCAGAATACGGCATTTCAAGGTGATATTCTCATGACAAAACACTGAAAACAGTCATGTCATGACTTAACATGTACGACTAGCTGCATCACAAGCGATTCACACTACTTTCATGTACATGTACACATCCATGTATCAATGTTACGGAAATTTGTACAGAAGAGAGTCGTGACAATGTCACCTGGACAAAGGCGTGATGTTGTGGAAACACCTTTCAGCATCACCTCACACTGGCATGAGAGTGGTGTGAGTTTGTTCACTGTGCTAAAAGCAGCACGCTCATGGTACAGCCCAACACGGATCAAAAGCTCTTCAGCACACCCCAATTCCTCATCCTTTCTGGTGTTTGACTAGGTGTAAGATTTGAATGTCATGTGCAACGTTTGATTCATGTGCAAACTGACAACATCAACCCCTGCTCCAGTTCAGCTCCAGTTGGTGATATTAACTAGCCCCTGCTACAAGATATGCACACATTGGAGTGTTGTTCGCAACCGGTCTTGTGCAGCACAGCAGCCAGCACAGTGTGACTGACTGCAGAAGTCACCCCCCCCCCCCCCCACACACACACACAAGCCACTAACCTCCTCTTCATTCACCGCATTCTCTCCGCTTTCTTCCACTGAGAACAACGACTTCAGCTTCTCATACTCCTCCAGCTCCTTACGCTCCTTTTCCTCTTTTCTCTTCTCCTCTTCTTGTGCCTGGCAGGACAGGATAGACAAACGAAGTAGTGAGTTATCAGAGATGAACATAATGCATGTGTTCAGCAAAACACTATCATAAACAATGAGAGCATGAGTGATAGTAGACTATTCAGAGAACATACGGGCAGTACTACGACACACATACGGTAATAATGGAAAACCAACTAACCAGTCTCTCTTCTTCCAACTTCTCTTCTTCTTCTTTCTTCTTACGAGCAGCCTCACGCTTCAGTTCGTCCTCTTTCTTTTGCTCCCTATCCCGAGCGCCTTGCTATAAATAGCAACGGAGAGAACGTTCACACACACACACACACACACGGACGCACCGACAACACACACGGACGCACCGACAACAACACAATGAACACGCTGTGCTGATGGCAGGGACAGGTGTGCCCAGCTACCATGCAGTTAACCAACCTTGCTGTACCATGCAGGAATCGCATATTCGTATGCCAAAAGTCCATAACACACATTTCTTACGCACTACGGCAAACACACTCCTCCCATGCACACACTTCAATAAACATGTCACCACTTTCAAATACAGCTGAGCATCGATTATCCGACCACGTCTGGGCAGCGGGCCCTGGGAAGGTGTTGGGGTAATGAAAATGTTCCGGATGAGGAAAATCTCACCAAGATACCTGTGTTCGGTATATCACAATACCCGCAACAACAGTCGTTTTCAATTTTCATGTTAGTTTTTGTAAGTTTTGTGAGTTTTTTTTAACCCTTTACCATCCGACCAAATCTCCCCAGCAGTCCCAAATGCAATAATTCTCACCTTATTCTGAGAATATCTTCGGTTCTAATCAACCAATTTTCACAATCTTGAGCATTCTGGAAAGCTCTCCACGAGCTGCGTACATTGAGCTCAAACAGGACACTACTGAGATCACATATCCAGCGCCAGGGAGCTTCAAATACACCCCATCGCTGTATATACGAGGAAATTCTCTCCTCGCCAGCCATTTCTCGCTCCTTCATCGTAAACATTCCAAATTTTTTGCTTGAGTTTCTTTTCATGCTGCCCACGCGCTCGAAGCATGCCAAAGTGACTCAGCATGTCAGGAGAGGGGAAATCCCCGCTCAAGGTCAGTCACTCGGAAAGAAATTCGACTTTTGCCGTAGCTGAAATGTCGAGCGAAATATCTTTGGAATGCGACATCGCAGCTCTTTACCGATTGATGCAATGGAAGGCTGGGCTATTCGGCTTCTTCCTAGATATTTAGTTCTTTACATTCCGACAAGAATCGATCGAGTTACGAATGTTTTAGTGTATGCATGTCCATCGATCTCTAGAGATCGATTCAAGTACGCACGGATGGTAAAGGGTTAAGGTACAGCCTGTACACATTGGTACATGCAGCGAGTGCGCGCTGCAGCAAATAACTTTCGTGCAAGCTTCCGTACGAAAATGCGTAGCCTGCGCCACTTGCGGTTCGAAAACCCATTCCGGATAATTGAATGGTCGGATAATCGATGTTCGGATACCGTAGTGTCTTGTATTAAAGCCTGTCTCATATAGTAGAAGCCTGATTTTCAAACATCTACCATTGGAAAGAAGGCTTCCACGTTCCACAAGCCATGATATATTGTTTCCTTACCTCACGCACACGAGCCGCCTCCGCCTTTTTCTCAAGCTTCTTCAGTTTCTTTGCTCCTATTTTGCCCAAGCCAGCAGTTCCCGGGTCCATAAATTCATCATCAGAGATCTCTGTGGCAAGCAGGAAGAAAATGTTTGTGGAATATCACAAGCACACACAGTTGTGTATCAGTTATCCGGCACCCTCCGGATCGAACCCTCTGGACCGGACGGAACCCTCTGGACCGGACGGCACCCTCCGGACCGGACGGAACCCCCCGGACCGGACGGAACCCCCCGGACCGGACGGCACCCTCCTGACCGGACGGCACCCTCCTGACCGGACGCTGTTGGATAAAATTAAATGCACAATTTGGATAACTAAAGCTACATCGCTATCTCGCGTTCACACATCAACGGGACTGTCATGCAGGATTCTACATTTATGTGATGCTCGATCAGCCCGAGACAATCATCATGCTCATGTATAATTCTGTCTGCAAAGACCGACTTGTACGTATGTTAAATGTTGCATAACGGCAACATTCATGATACGCACTGTCCACATATTCATGTACTACAACTTGAAGTAGGACTGTAAATATACAGTGTAGGAACTGTCAGTCCACCATCGGATAATATACGTGCCAGATGACTGACGGCCAAATAGGTGATATGCAACTGTACCTAGCCTTTCACACAATCACACAATGTCATTCCAAAGATCATACACAAGAGAGAGAGAGAGAGAGAGAGAGAGAGAGAGAGAGAGAGAGAGAGAGAGAGAGAGAGAGAGAGAGAGAGAGAGAGAGAGAGAGAGAGAGAGAGAGAGAGACAGAGAGAGAGACAGAGAGAGAGAGAGAGAGAGAGTAAGTTACATTTATAAAGACAGGTAAGTCTAACAAATGAGGACTGAGACCTCTACAACAGGGTTTTTACGCCTGAAAGCAGGTGCATGATTTAACAAGCAGGTTGTCAGTCTAGATTTTATGCGCAGATGGAGAAAAAGCGCAGAATTTTTGTAATGAGATGAAAAGCAGAAATAATAAGAAATAATAAGAAAAGATGAAATGAAAGCCTGCTCACAACCCCGCCCAGCCTTGCGAACTGGGTATGGTGGATTAAGAACCCGGTTCAACGCTCGAGCAAGCGCTCTCCACTCAAGGTGTTCACAGCAACTGATAGGAACTCATATGGGGAAATTATAGAAAAGAAATAATAAGATAAAGAGAATAAATTTCAACGCACCTCAATAAACGGAGCCCCACATACAGTACCTCAGAAAAGTGGATCTTCCGACCAGTGTTTTTGTTGACGCCGCAACCAGATGATGTAGCTGCTTCGCAGAGACGTCTTACTGCACAAATTACAAATAAATTTTATTCTTCGATCAGAAAATCCAAGCGCTTTCAGAGCCCTCCGAAGAGAGTCCGGGATGAAACCACGCACACCTACCTCAACCGAAAAAGAAACGACCTGCCACCCGTTTGCTCGGCATTGATCGGCCAGATCCGCATACCGCCTGTCCTTCCGCGAGTTACTGACACTGAATCTGTCCTCAGCACAAACTGTCAACTCCATCCAGAATACAATCCTACGACTCGTAGAGTACAGAACTATATCTGGTCTTAGGGTGGTAAGTGCAACACAGCTAGGGAAAGAAATCTTTGCATTAACTGAGTCGACAAGAAGTTTCCAGTCTGAGGCCGCTGACAGGAGATCAGTCGTAACCAACTTTCGTCTGGGCTGAACGCGAACTGGCTTCTCTCCCGCCTTGCAAAACGAGATGAAGTCAAGCTCATTTGAATTTTCGGTTTGTACGGTGTTTGCAGCAGTGCGGATTCGAATCTCCTCACGCATGTTCCTGACGATGACCCCGAGTACGTTGTCGTGCCTCCAGGTGTAACGTCCCTGGTCCAGCGCTACGCGACAAGCGCCAAGCACGTGGCGCGTAGTACAGGCCCAGGTACGGCACAAACTACAGTACGGATCCACTACGGTGTTTCCCCAACGGCGTAGGTTCGTCGGAGAAGGTAGCACGTCGAGGGTTGATGCGAGAAGAAATTTCAAATCCTTACCAGTACCACCGTACAAAAGGGATTTCCACGAGAGGTCCTGCCACATCACCGATGTCCACTCCAACCACTTGCCTTGCACCTGAAGAGTCTTCAGCCTCAAAATCTGCTCCTGCGCGTTGATCTCCTCAAATGTTTGAAGGAGATCCTTCCTCGGGGGTTTGGAATGCTGCTTCGGAGCACGAGCACCCAACCCTGCACGATGACTTGAAGATGACGGTGGACGGAGAGTCCCTGAACCTACTGATGCCTCTGCACACTCCAGCTCTATTGTCGCCGCATATCGCTTTGTCAGCTTCGCATCCTTACTCCGACGCAGAGTGTACAGCGCCCTCATGCGCGCGTCCCCACTCGATCGAAGAATGTGCCATTTGATGGACTGGCACTTTTTCCACACGAGAGAGAGAGAGAGAGAGAGAGAGAGAGAGAGAGAGAGAGAGAGAGAGAGAGAGAGAGAGAGAGAGAGAGACAGAGACAGAGACAGAGAGAGAGAGAGAGAGAGAGAGAGAGAGAGAGAGAGAGAGAGAGAGAGAGAGAGAGAGAGAGAGAGAGAGAGAGAGAGAGAGAGAGAGAGAGAGAGAGAGAGAGAGAGAGAGAGAGAGAGAGAGAGAGAGAGACACACAGAGAGAGAGAGAGAGAGAGAGAGAGAGAGAGAGAGAGAGAGAGAGAGAGAGAGAGAGAGAGAGAGAGAGAGAGAGAGAGAGAGAGAGAGAGAGAGAGAGAGAGAGAGAGAGAGAGAGAGAGAGAGAGAGAGAGAGAAAGACAGACAGAGCTCATTGCTAGCCGGTTCGGCCTCATTTTCCCCGTGCTGCACTAAGGATGAAATAGTTCTGTCCGCAGACGGAATGCCAAGAAATACCATAATAAGTAAATTTCATGGACGAACAAGTATATGCTCAGTGCTGCAAAAATCAGTTTCCCACACATACCTTCATCCAAGTCAATATTGTTCCTCGCTGCAGCAGCAACAGCATCAGCAGCACCTCGATTAGCACGTCGCGACCGGATAGCCACTTGCAGCTTTTCCTGTGCTGTCAATGTGCGTCGCTGAGGACGGACGTCTTCTTCCGTTTCCTCTCCATCCTCCTTTTCTGCTCCCATGTTGATATTCAGAATGGCATGCACACACACACACATAGGCACGTGCACACACGCACACACACACACACACACACACACACACACACACGTACACACACACACACACACAGCTAGTTTGTAAAGAAACGCAGTCGAAACGCGTGCAGTTGAGATAGTAGCGAGGACTGAATGTGACATGTCACATGCCACAGTGGTATGGTTCATAGTTCATACTCATAGTTGGCAGTCATAGTTCACACTCATAGGTCATACTGATCAAGTACTGCGCCATACACAGGCTGTGACTGTGTGAAGTTATTGTGCACTGTACTGAGTATTGCTACATGTTCTAGATCTAGCCGGCCCCTTGCGATGGATATCCCGTATTAAAGACAGTTTGTGTGGCAAGGTGGAGGACACGGTGCAAAGGATGCTGTTCCTGACTACAACCATGTTGTTTACAAAGAGAGCCGACCCTACGAACAGAACACTACACTTGGGCTCAAAGTACCCCACTACCTACATGTATTAATATATTATGCATTGCAATCACCTGCACAAAAGAGATAGTGGACAAGATGTGTGTGTGGATATGCTGGCAGCCTAATGCTGCACATGGGCCTAGGCCGGGATGTGGTGTGGATCGCTATGAGGTATCAGTGTGTGTAGAGTGATGGCCAGGGCTACTATCCTTCCCAGTGTGTCCTCTACCTAGCCCTGCCACCCGCACTGCTCGACATGATAACACACTGCACACTGTATACCAGTGCTCTTACATTACATTGTTCACAAACAGGCAAAGGAGCTAGTGTTCTACTGTTGTTCACTCACAATATTCAATAACCCGATACAGTCATGAGCTCATGCACATGTGCTTTTTTTTAATTGAACCTTTTTTTATACAATAATTAGTAATTACACTTGGTTTGTATGTGGTGGTGTCATGTATATACAATTCAGTATTCAACAGCTACTGATAAAACCAGTGTCAAGTACTGGTAGTGCTAGTGTCTCATAGCAACAGAGACAAGTCAAATAAGTAATATACATGTACAATGTATATCCAGAACGACAAACCATGGCATGCAGTCCAATCAAACTCACTGTCTGCATTGTCCTCCTTCTTTCTCTGCCATCTCGTCACGAAGAACAGAGCTGCCACCACAACAAACACTGCCCCGACCAAGAGAACCAAGACCTCATCCATAGCAGCACAGTCGAAGCAACTGCCTCAGGAACTGACAAAGTACTAGTAGTTATTTTCAGACTAATGTCCAGCTCTAATGTGCTCAGCGTCTACAATGAAGACTTTTTGTTCTCTTTTCGGAGTCTTCGTATAACAGCAACTACAAAGCAAAATACTCTGCCAGCTACGCAATTGTACAAGGAAGGTTATGGCAACACCCTTCGAGTCCAAGAGGCGAGAGCCAGAAAAAGACGATAGATCGATGGGTATGCTTTGTTCAGCTAGCAAAATTATCGACAATGACGATCTACAAGACATTACAGTCTACAGAACAGTGTAAATCTGTGACGTAACTGTCTTGCAGTGTGTTTTTACAGCTGGAAAACAGCATGTTGTCATTGTTGATGACGTAGTTGCTTTCATTCCCATGATGCAATAGCCCATGCATTATTGGAAAGGCTTCCTGTCTGAAGCCTTTCCATACTGGTACTCGATGTTCCAGTTTTGTGACACGAGAATGGCACGAGAATTAGTGTACCGCTGAGTGTACCGCTATACACGTGGTCGACACGTAGTCGACACGTTGTTGACACTTTTTGGACACGTGACCCCGTCAACGGTCAGCTTTGTGCCAATGCCACTCGGTAAACGCCGATGTCGCGTACGACAAAGACGACTATCCCGTACGCGAAATAGTTGAGAACTGCATGACGTGGACCTGACGCCAAGGACAACTGCGAGGAGGCCCCTTTCCGTACCCCGTACTGCAAAGTGCCATTGATGGATGCCTTTTGCACCTGGAACGACCCCTTAAACGCTTTCGCGGCGACTGCCCCGTACGCGAAATAGTTGAGAACTGCTGAAGTGGACCTTTTGCACCTGGAACGGCCCCGTCAACGCTGTCGTGTCGGCGGAGTGAATGTGCAGGGTGAAAATAATTGCTGCAAAGACGTCCGGTCTAGGCCTTTGGAGACATCGTGGGAACTCCTTCCGGTACTATACAAACTGCTGACGTGGCCGTGGACATGTACATGGAGACATGGTGGGACTTCATGTACATGGATACATGGTGGGAATTCCTTCCGGCACCCCCGTACCGCAAAGCCAACGGTGGGGAAGGAGAAGTGCAGACGTGCAGGAAGACGAACGAGGACGAACCAGGACGAGCGAGCAATGGCAGGACTAGGGGGACTGTAAGTAATAGCTGAATTGTGCATGACAACTTGACATCCATGCGGCACTCGCCACTTGCCACTGCATATTTCTTGTCCACTAACAATGTCTCTCCTCTGCCCCTGTGTGTCCACGGCCCTGTTGCTGAACTGGCCCGATGAATCGAATGTCTCCCGCAACTGGAACGGCCCCGTAAACGCTGTCGCGTCGGCGACTGAATGCGCAGGAGGGAAAATATTGGTGCGAAGACGTCTCCTCTAGACGACGGTAAGGCACCCCATTGATATGTTGCCAGTGTGTGCCGGGTATCGCGCGATGGTGAATGAGGAATGACGAAGGGTACGGTGGGACTGTAGACCTGCTACCTTGTAACACGTTATCAGGTGGAGAGTGTCTTGTGACTCACGTTATCAGGTCGAGAGCGTATTGTAGTAAAAAATGTAATGGTCTACAGTCGTGTAGGAAGGGTACGGTGGGACTGTAGACCTATTACCTTCTAACACGTTATCAGGTGGAGAGTGTCTTGTACTCACGTTATCACTATATCAGGTCGAGAGCGTATTGTAGTCACTCTCTCTATTCCTGTACATCATTACGTTTCAGGTGTACGTATAACTTTTCAAAAAAATGTAATGGTTCACGTCTTCAGATAGAGAGCGTATTGCACCCACTGTCTAGTCTCTGTAGTGCATTGAGATTTTGTTGGTCGCACATGAAATGGATACACAGACAAAGCAGGCCAAGTACATGGCGAGATTTGGCCAGAAGACACGTAGTCATGAACCACCAAGGCGACATACAGAAATTGCGCCTGGACACGCAAAGACAAAGCAGGCCGCTTACATGGTGACATCTCGGGAGAAAGCAAAGCAGGCGAGATCGCGGGTGAAAGAGCCCGCCGCGCGCATTAAGACATCGAAGAAGGAAGGGAAAAGCATGGGCCTGTTGCAAAGAAAGCGAAAGTGCCCCCGCAAAAGCGATTACGAAGAACACGGGCAAAGGAACGGACACACATAAAGATACCGCGCAAAAAACCCGTGTGCAGCATTGCACATATGTGACATTATAGGCAGTGCGGACGATGTTCCGGACGCTGCATTTGGCCTCCCCACGTGGCATCCTTCTGAAAGCGCTGATCCCGACAGAACTACATTTCCACCTATTTCACCACCACTGTACACTTTCACTGCCAACACGAGAGGAAGTCAGCGAGACGTGATCCGTGACGCTATTCGCGCTCGTCTCCTGGACGATGCAGAGAGAGTGGACGATGTTCGGATTGACAAGGTCTGCGGGTACTTCATTAAAGTTACCCGTGACATAACTAGGATAGAAGTTAATCGCTGCAAAGACATTGCCAAGTATGTGAGCACTTTGGACTTGACAGAAGAGTGCATGGGCGACGTTTACAAAACATACCACGGTGACTGTCACCATCATGACAGCAGGGCACATCGTCACCATCATGACAGCAGGGCACAACCTTATCATAGTGACTCGTGGCGCATTTGTCTGGGCAGCGATGGTAGTGAATTATTGACGCCTATAATTACTGACATCACTGGCAAGGCACACAACACTGTCCAGTCGCCAGATGGAGGAGAAATGGCAGGTCAAGTTGAAGTTGTGTCTCCCGACGATGATGGACTGACACTTGTGGAGCTGCAGAAGTGCGATGGTCTGTGCAAGGTGCGTGAGGGGTAGTGCGCTTCAGATACGCGACTTTTGTGACCTGGTTACTGGGTGCGTCGACGAGAAAAGGAACTTGGGCGACATGTTGGGAAACTTGTTCGCTGAATCGCGCATGTCAAAGAGTAGGAACGTGGACCACATGCCTTATCCATGTGCTAAATGCGAAATTGTCGATCGCAACTTGAAATGGTGCCTTCCCACGTGCAAAACCGGGTATTCTGTAAATTGCACTTTTGACAGTGGATGCAGAAGCTTGTGGTGCAACTTGTACCATATGAGGCCACATTCCAATGTAGCATTTAAATTGTACGCCAGTGCAACAGCCGTGAAGCGTGCATGTCTAGCGCGGCAGGCCTTGACAGATGTACTAGCTCGTGAGTGCACCCTTAACGACATGTATTGCATGGTTGCTGAGGTTACCAGACTGTATCCTGCGGGTGTGTGGGACCATTTCACGGTAGGAAAGTACCTTGATGACGCATTCAAAGACATTGCTGTGCCCCAAATGGGCATGACAGTCGACCACGATCTATGTTTGGATGAAAATGCTATTATTACTAGGCATGCCGAACAGTATGCGGCATTCGAGGAGAAGGTGTGTAACGTACCTGTGTTTGCATGCATTTCTTGCCACATGCTAAGGCGAAAGGAGGAGGTGGTCCCTTCCCCCTTGCAGATTGCGATGGATTTGTGGGAAATCTCATGAACAGACTAACAAGTTATGTGAGTGAAAACCTCCGCATTGTGCCTACACATTTCCACCTTGGTGTCTGCAACATCGACCTGTGCTAAATCGTTGGACAAGGGAAATTTTCCATAACCCGCAAGTACTGAACTTCCCGCATCGGTGGTATGCAATGGGTGAATGCTTCACAACCTCCGTCTGTTGCCTAAACACGCATTCTTCTGCCTTCTCCCTGCGTTCGTGTCCAGGTCGCCATAGTTTCAATCGCCACGCATCACTTGGCCATTGAAGCAGCGTCGACAGCATTGATGCAATTAAAAATGTTTCGTCCGAAAGCCAATGTGTTGAATTAAGTCTGCTGAAGTGCTATTGCACAACATGTCCGTGTTTGCTCTCCTCTGCGCGCGTGTCTGTGTGTGTGTGCATGTGTGTGTATGTATGTGTGTGTGTATGTGTGTGTGTGTGTGTGTGTGTGTATGTGTGTGTGTGTGTGTGTATGTGTGTGTGTATGTGTGTGTGCGTGTGTGTGCATGTGTGTGTGTATGTGTGTGTGTGTGTGTGTGTGTGTGTGTGTGTGCGCGTTCATTTATGTCTTCCCTTGTGCGTGTGTTGGGGGGGGGGGGGAAGGTGTGCCGTGGTCTCACTGGCCCCGTCACTGACGACAGAGATTTTGGCGCATGCGCGGGCCGTGGTGCGGCCCACGGTTGCCGCAATGTGCATGTGCGCTTATGCACCCCTGTCTACAACAATGCGTACTGTTGTGCTTCCGTTTGTCCGTGTGTCTCTTCACGCCTCTGCCTGTGCGTATGTACATTGGTCCATGTCACATCAACTGTACGCGTGTCTGCGTGAGTGTATACACGTATGTGCAGTCGGGCAGCATGACCTGCTGATCAGGAGGTGCGTGCCAGTGCCACGCACTGCCGAAGCACGGGTGCTCACAGCTGGCTATGTGACCACCCTACTGCAATGTCCCATTGCGACGGGACGGAGTTGGGGCTCGACATCATATCAATGCCCACTCTAAAACTCACCCGTTACACTGGAACGTTCAACGTATACAGTGCTCCATGGTGCAACCGCTCTACACTCATTTACTGGGAAACATGCAGTGGTTCAATGGGTTGGTTGTCCTCATGGCTGGGCCCGGGGTGGGTGGGGGAACGGAAAAAGAACTGAAATTATCCATATAAAAACTGCTCTCTGAGCAGTTCTGAAAAACCTATACTGGTGCAGCCCCGTCGTAAAACTATGAAATTAGAACTGGGCCTTTATCCCCCCCATGTGAAATGGTCCACCTAAATAGGGAATGACGGGACCCGAACGCACCAGTAGCACGAGGTTCCCACCTACACATATGGATGCAGATGGGGACGCTGGTCCACAGCCCCATAGCAATATTTGTACACGGCCACTGATACACTGCAGTAGTATTGGTGACATGTGCCCTCCCGACCTCGTGCTACTGGTGCGTTCGGGTCCCGTCATTCCCTATTTAGGTGGACCATTTCACATGGGGGGGGGGGATAAAGGCCCAGTTCTAATTTCATAGTTTTACGACGGGGCTGCACCAGTATAGGTTTTTCAGAACTGCTCAGAGAGCAGTTTTTATATGGATAATTAATTATACAGTACAATTCCTGCCAATACTGCGCATGCAATAGTCTTTCAACTACTAAGTAAGTTTCAAGTCAGTTCTGTTTTGCCGCATATTCAGTAGTAGAGGCTACAACAGCAGAGTCTGGCACGGGGGCTCGAGAGCTCGAAACATCTGTCACCAAAAAGAATAAGCTTTATCTAGAATACTCTTGCTGTCACCACAATTCTTCTTCTCTCTCTTCTTCTTCGGTAACTACAAGTCATAATAAATATGAAAATGACTGTGAGAGTACAGTGTACATGTAGTAGAAACTTAGATCAGTTTCTCCAGTTGCAAAAACTGGATAGCTTCTGATGGTTGTGTGAGAATTGCCTCCCTAGGCTGACTGACGTGAAGGTCACATAGACGTGTAGCTGCTCGACTGCTGTGTCTGGCAGGGCAAGATAGCAGGAGGTGGGCAGCATCATCAACTGTTCCAGGACAGTGAGTGCAATCGGGTGAAGGTGCAGCCTCAATCTGGAACAAGTACTTGTTCAGCAGGCTGCAGTGGCCAGTGAGGAGCTGATTGAGGATGGTGCGGTCTCATGCCGGGACGGTCACCACAATGATAAATGCCAGCCGGGCTCAGGCAAGGTCGGGCTATTGTCAAAGACAGCAAGAGGACATGAACACTGTGAATTCATCATGTAGGAGTCACTGTACCAAGAGTAAAAAAAAAAAAAGTAAATTATCGTATCCGTTCCCGAAGGGAACTCACGACGGCCGCTAACACCCGATAAACCCTAGCTTGTACCAAGAGTACAGTCATGTATATGGAGCCATACCATTGAACCATTGTACTCTTGATCAGGGAGCCCTACGTACCCCCCCCCCCCCCAGACCCTTTCTCGGGCCCACTGTGCCAGACCGTTTATCATGAGCCGGTCTTGGTTCATATTCATGCAAGACATCCAGGACTGGCAGGAGCGACAAATAATACACGACTGATGGTACAACAACAAGAAGTCTAAGGCAACTTCCTAGAATACACTGAGAGGGTCAGAATCGGGGCTAACACCCATACGGTTCAGGTGGTCCGACAAGACCGGGGCTCTACCAACCGTGGCTGGTTGTAGAAAGCGGGTCATTGTTTCCGAATCATACGGTGGTCCTCCACCTTGTAACATGCTACGGGTACGGTCACTCAACCAACCAACCAACCAACCAACCAACCAACCAACCAACCAACCAACCAACCAACCAACCAACCAACCAACCACACATACCAACCAACCAACCAACCAACCAACCAACCAACCAACCAACCAACCAACCAACCAACCAACCAACCAACCAACCAACCAATCAATCAACCAACCAACCAACCAACCAACCAATCAACCAACCAACCAACCAACCAACCAACCAACCACACATACCGGTACATGTAGCCCATACATGTACATGTACACTTGCACACTGCGTACCGTGTCACCGCTCAAACCGGGATATTTGGTTATTGGAATAATCAGTATCGGAATAATTATTGGAATATTGGAACCGGCTTCCTTATTGGAACATATCATTATTTTTATGTAGAGTCTGGTGATGTTCGTGAAAATTGTGGGATACTGTTGTAGACAGCCTTAAATTCAGCAGTGGATTAATTTTAAAGAGATCAAAGGAATAGCAAGGAAGAGCCTAGAGAAATGGCCGACCCAGTAATGTCACAGTCAAATCAAGCCGGGACAACATGTGCGGGATGAACTGCTGCGGGAAGTAACACTAATAGGCTATGTGCTAGCGGGAATACTGCTGTTGTGGAAATCCAGAACTGGTGAGTAACAGCAGGCAAAACCGGGTCGAAGGACGCCATGATAGCAGCATCGCGGACTAGATTACTGTCACTATACATGTACATCAGGCATCTATCTCAAATAGTAGACTTACACAAGTAATCGATACAATCAAGCTCGCGTTGAGTATGCAGCGTACTAGTACACCGACAAGTGGCTGTAACACGCACCTCCAGCGCACGTGCATCATTCACAAAGCAAACTACTAAGTTAAAATGCATGTTTGGACATCGTACACCTGGACACTGAGTCACACCATGGTCCGGCGGCATGCATACTAGAGGCGTATGTGCAAGCTTAGCTGTGCTGGTATTGAGAACACTGTGCACTGCGACGCACGCATGATTTCAACAGCTGGACTGATACCGTGAATAGCCTGGATATCCGGCGGGTCATGTATAGAGTGCATAAGCTCAACACAGCACTCAATACAGGGCAGCGGATATGCTGGCCGCGGCTGTCACACATGTGGTATGATAGACCCGTAACCCTTTGCGGTGTGTTCTGAAGTTTGCACCGACAGGTCTTCTTCAATGCAGTCCTGTAGCTGGCCTAGCTTACATCACATGCCATCAGGCTGTGTTGAACATGATTCCAGACAGTGATGACTACGGCATGATCATGATGATGTCACAGCATGATGGCTCACAATACCGAACACATGAACACCTACAGTAGGTCACGTTATACTGAATCACTGTGTCTGTAAACTTATCAGCAATGCCCTGAGTCAGGACAGTGCATGTAGTACTGTGCACCTACCCGCCTACCGCTATATAATAGCTGGCACTGAGTTAGCGCTGAGAAACCGGTAGTAGTCCGGTAAGCTACCAGCCGCCGCAGCGGCCGAGTGGGGATCACTGAACAATGACGCCGTCGCAGCATTCGCTGCACTGAATGCAAGTTGCGATCCAGACTGGTATGTTGGCGATCCGCCCATGTTGATTGCATTGGCTGGTGTACCAGCGGCTGCAGCAGCCTCTGCCGCCGCAGCCGCGTAAGGCTGTGCGGCGTAAGCGGCTGCCGATGATGCAGTGTTGCCCGGTACTGCGGTTGCCATGCCATTCAACATGGCCGTCGCAGCGTAGGGCTGGTGAGATGCGTAGGCGTTCATGTGCAGTGCAGCCGCTGCGGCAGCCTGCTGTGTAGCTTGATACTGTATAGCAGCACTGGCATTGAACGCTGCCGAATTGTACGCGTTACTCGCTGCGTTGTATGTTGAAACATTGGCGGCTACTGCTGCCGCGGCGTTCCTCGCTCCCATTTGAATGCTGGCAGCACCTTGCTGCTGCTGTTGCTGCTGTTGTTGCTGCTGCTGTTGCTGTTGTTGCTGTTGTTGTTGCTGTGTGACCAAGTGCGCTGCAGCTGCTCGCGCCTTCCTCTTTGCTGCTCTCTTGGACTTGGCGCGGCGATTCTGAAACCAAGTCTTCACCTGGGATTCGTTCAGACCCACCATGGACGCCAAGTGCGTTCTCTCCAGAGCCGGTAGGTACTGGTCTTGGCCGAAGCGCTGCTCCAACGTTTCGATCTGCCTATCGGTGAACCTAACTCTGCCACGTCTCTTCTTTTTCACTGTGGTCCCAGTACCCGTTCCACCACCAGTACCCGTAGCCGATGTTCCATTCACACCATTGCCATCCGGACCAGGCTGGAAATCCAAATTCGACGAGTCGTCTTCTGAAACAAGAGAAGCAGCCAAAAGCGGAAACAGAGCCAATGGACTTTCATCGCATGGTACAGGATAAGAAGAAGGCTTTGACAGTTCCGTGGTTTTTCACCCAACTAATGTAACCATGGTAACGTCGTTATGAAACGCGTGGCAGTGATTAGGAATATGATTGTTCTTGTCTTGAGCCGTTGAGGTAGATCTACATGACTGTACAATCGTCTATCATCTAGTAGATATATCTATAGTCTACTACACGTACACGTGTTACATCACCAGATCACTGTCATCAAGTCTTTTGTGTTTTCACGTAAAATCTACAATGAAGTCATTCAGCTAGCAACGGAAACGATACTCGATATCGTCTTAGCGATAGACATAGCTGACGACACTGATATCATGATAATAATTATTATGACTCCTTCTTTGCCAATCATCGGCAAGCATACATTGTAGACGTGATACAGCTATCATACTTCATAGTCCGTACTAGTCATAGTCATAGTCAGGTCGAACCTGAGCCGTACTTTGACAGTTGGAGCGAGCATTGCTCCTAATCTATTCCCTGCTCCAAACTCCATTGTCACAAAAAGTCATCACCGAATGGTCACCAAAGTCACTATAGTAATTATAGCCAGAGAGTCATCAGTCTCAGACTCAGACTCTCATTATCAACATGTAGACTCAGGGTCGCAGAGGAGACGCGAGTGCCAGTGTGAGTGCATGATTCTCGTCGACTACATTTTTAAAATGATTGTTAGTCTATTGTACATGTACAGTCATGTAGATCTACTTTGCACTATTTTATGGTACATATTGGTAACACAGCGCACTACACGCACTGACGAATCACCTGGTAGACCTGTACAACATGTAGGTGACAATATGCCATTCAGTTTGTCACAGGGAAGCGGCCTTCCGGCTAATAAGCACCATTACAAAAGGCTGTTTTGTCACATTTGTGAGATTCTCAAGCCCCCCTCA